GTAAGAAGAATTCCTTTTTCAACACAACCCAGACACAATGGAGACTTGCGATTGTGGTTGGATGTGAATTCTTATTAGAAATAAAAGCGCAATAAGTATAAATTGTGGTAATTGCTAACTGTGAATGTTTAGAACTAAATACAAAGTGAATTATTTTTAAAAAGCTTATTCATTCGTCATCATCATGCTATATATTATTGGAGCTTTGCTAGCAATTTACAAGCTGTTTTTTAAGTGAATGAACATTTGATTATTGGATGTTGATATATCCACCTAAATTGTTAATCCGAAACAATACTTGTTAGTGAATCAATAAAAATATAAACACAGACTAGTGAGAAGGAAGTGTGTACGCACACAATAAGCAGTTTTTGCTGTGTTTAAATCCACCTTGTAGTTCAATATACAGACATATTTATTCAATAAATAATATTCGAAATTGGAAGTAAAGGACATGAAGCAAAAAAGCATAAGCAACATGAAAATATAATAAAAAAATTTCTATTTTCGACTCGTACACAAGAAACTTCTTCTTTGCCTTTCTCGCATGTGAAGGCAAAGTGGCTTCTTTTCATCATCATTTAAGAAGAAAACTTTTGTGGGAAGAAAAAAAAGTGACAGACGTGAAGTTCTTTTATCCCTGCAAATCAATCAATTTCACGATAATCGAAAAGAAATCCGTTTACATTTCTCTGCCATCGACATGATGTAAACGGAACGCGTGCAGGGAATTCAAGTGAATGACTAAGAGCATCTTAAAAAAACATTAATGTACATTTTATTTAAAGTGTGTAAAAAATAAGTAAATCAGGCAAAATTCTCTCGAGCAGTTGCGATAATATAAGCAATAAAACCGGAATATATGCCATACTTAAGTCTCATAAAAATGAGTAGAAATTCTTTGCAAGACCAAACAAACATCCCGTTGATCGTCACCACAAACGAAGGTGGCACAGCGCGCTCATCGACTGGCACCAGTCTTGATTCATATAAAGCTAAATCATGTCGTAGTTTTGTACGTCAACCGAAACTGAACAGTGAAACTCATCGTAATAAATCTGTACCACATAATTTGCAGGTATTGCGTAGCTCACATTGTCTATTTTTTTTCGTGGGAATTAATGATAATAAAGGGAGAAGGAGAGGTTTTCAGTACCTTTTATGACTCTCGGCTAAAGCTACAATTAATTTCAACATTTTGAAAATCTTTCAACTGCAATGTTACATACATACCAAGAACAATTATCATTAATTTGCATAATTTACGCAGACCATGGGAAAAAAAGCAGAACACAACAAAGCATTTATTTCCTTTCCACTGCCACTGCCTCTGTTCAAAGTACATTCACTCTAAATGTTTTGCGCGCTGAGCAATTGTAGAAAGTAAAGGTATTTACCATCATTTTTATGGCACATACGTGTACCTTAAAAAAATGAGTCGAGAATGGAAATGAAGAAGTAGTCAGAATAGCAACAATGGGAGTTGTTCGTATATTTTGTAACATTGAAGTAGTTTCAAGTCTTGTTAAATGTTTCTGAATGTTTTACAAAGTTTGAAACGAGCTGGGAAAGTGGGTACAAAATATGTGATCATCCCTGAAGTAGAAAAGCAAACATGAGCAGATTGCAAGAGTAAACTAATTTCCTTCAGCCATAACCGCAAGTTTATTAAATATTTTAAACCTCCTTTCCTTTGTAATCATTTTCTTTAGTGCTTTCGTAAACAGAAACACGGGTGATTTTGAATAGAAATCAAAAGCATTGTGACTAATCAGTAGCTTTGTTTTTTTCGATTTGAAATGTGTCAAAACAAAGGAAAATGCGATATGTCAGTGTAGCTTATTCATATCGTAGAATCTATCGGAAATTCCCATTTATACACATTTAATAAAAATGTTCAGCTTCTTCCATTTTTTATGTGCAGCCCTTCTTTTTTGGTATTCACATCGATTGCCTAATTATAGAGTCAGAGCAGAGGCTCATTTATGTGCAAAATATGTAACAGAATAAAATATAAATATCGGAGGCAGCTAACCCATAGTGAATGATGTGAAAGAGAGGTACAAAAATCGATTCGTGTAAATTAGATCCTTTTAATGATTAACCTTATGAATAATCTCATAATAAATGTTTATAATCAAGATTTCAATGTTGTTTTGGAAAGGAAACCCCTTAGGATAATTTTCATAAGAAACTCGATAAGGATACATTTTTTTTCCTTTTAACACATCCTCTTTAATCTTCAAAGATATCAAATTTTTGTTTTTTCATCATCATGCCTCTATAACATCAAACATATTACCTCATAATGATACACATGATGTGAAAAAATCATCATCGTTAAATATTGATAAAGAGAAAAAAAGAATAATTAACCATAATCCGTTTGTGTATACAAGTAGCACAGACACATGAGAGTTCATTGAATCCTGACAACTAGTAAATAATTAATATTTAAACTCATTGATTAATAATGATCGGATAGATAAGTTCAAAAATCAATAGATTCATTTGATAAAATATTTACAAAAATAATTAAAATCGCACGATTTAATCCATTTTGTAGGAATCAATAAAAGTTGAAAAATAATTGAGTTCAAAGAGGACTTCATGTTTTCTGGATCATATAGGATTTAAATGAATTTTCAATTTTTGTTCGATTTTTATTGGAGAAAAACTGATTGTTTGAAAAACTCTTGATTCAAGAGTTTACTGATGAATCCATTGAGAATAGAACTTTAAAAAAATCATGTAAACTTCAATTAAAATGAATTTTGTGAAAATCCCTTTTTTTCGAGGGTCTGAAAATCAAATAATTTCAAGTTTGAGCTTGTTAAAGTTTCAAGAACCCGAAAAGTCACTAGTCTTTTCCATTTATAAATAATAGTTACAAGAAGTGTCAATCAAAGAAAACTTGCCTCGAACTATTGCATAACAATAACTCAAAAGGATTGCCAAAAATATATTTTTTTCGATGGATAGACTCTGACTCAAATATAATGTGGAAATTTCACAATTAAATTTACTGCCACACCAGTTTTCATGCATGAATCAAAAAGTAAAGTTAAAGCTTTCGTGACATTATTTATGACATTCATTTGATTTGACAGGAAACCGTGTTTGAAGATGAAAGCGGCGTTTTATGCAAATAGTTTAACTTCCATGCTTTATTTGTGTTGTGGAAAAGTAATGAAAGGAGCCACCACACTAGAGAAAATGGAAGAACAAGTTAGAAAAATATGTGTGTGGTTATTAGAAGTCCTTAACAAGAATGTTGGCAATGATCCAATTATTTTCTTCTACTCAAAAGTGCCGCTGTTGATTTTTAACCAACCTGTAAGCTAACCACTTTTGTATAGGCTGCTTGTTGTTTCAGAATATTGCATACCGCATGATAAAATATGGAAAAATATTTTTCATGAATATTTTCTGCGTTTATAAGCCACTCTGAGCATAAAATGTGAAGGAGACATTCACGTATGAGGCTTTCAGCATATTATCAATCAATTGCTCGCCATCACGTAATGTTGCGTGTCATGTAAAGATTTATAGCTGATAAGACCGCGTAATCAAATTTAAAAAAAATCTGAATATTGACCTCAGATTAAACAATTGTTGGCAATTCCGTTTTGATTCACAGCAATCAGAAAAAATTAAAGATTCATCAAAAGTGCTTTCCTTAAGTGTATTTAGGTATTATCGGAAGTTAATACATTTCGGATATCATTTGCAATAAAAATTCATTAAAAATTTCTTAAAAGGATAAAAAATTCACGCAAAAAAAATTTCATAATGGAATGGAGCAAGGAACATAAATAATCAAGCGCTTGCGCATTTTTTTTTTATTCATTCCGAAAAAGAAGGAAAAATGTTTTTCTTGCTAAGAAGTACACAAAAAAAAATATTGGAATGAAAATTTATTCTGCTCTGCTGTGCGAGAAAGGTAGAAAAGGAAAAGAAAATAAGATTCATATGATTTTACTACGTCGTCAGAAAGTTTTACTATAAAACAACTTGTTTACCGATTTTCCAATTTATGTTCTGTTGGAAAATGAGAGAGCTTTTCTCTGTCGTTCCATTCACGTTTGTTGTGTTCTTCTTTCACTTCACCAAAAGGTCTGGCATATCCGATGAAAAAGAGTCTGGTATTTATGGAAAAAAACGAAAGAAATGAATTATGTGCAAATAAATGGAAAAATTGTGAGAATCTCACGTTTTTGTGTACCTTATTCACATTCAGGGATGTATTTAGAGTTGTTTTCAATGTTGTGGGACTTGAGATGTAGTCAGAAGTATTAAAATGCGAGTATTAATGTTCTAGATGCATAGAATCTTTTTTAAATGAGTTTTAAGAATTTACTTTCAAAAAAGTCATCAAATAGAAAAAAGTTGTGTAACGTCTTGAACTCCTTACTATGCCTACGATTTTGATGAGATTCAAACATTTTTGAATAGAATTGGGCTTGAATTATTTTATTTTAATTTTTTTTTGAAGATTTTTGACTCTCCTAGTCTAAGCATGACATCAGAGTCAACTTAATAATCATTTTTAGGGGTATTGACTCTTAGCAGGGTGGGAATTTAAAACAGAAATCAAAATTAAAATCACTTTGAAATGATTTGAAACCTTAAACAATTTTTTTTTTTGCTGAACCGATCAGTTCCTCTAGTGTATGAATGCTCAAAATGTTAAATATGAAGTCATTTAAGAATGAAGCACTATTTCGAAACTACTTTTTCAAAAAATCGCAGGCATAAATGATAAAAGTACCCGTGAAGATACATCCCTGTCATATTCACAATCATTGAAGTTCAAATTGAAAATTGAGTCTAGAAAAATTTTTCTGAATTGAATACAGGACATACAGTTTAACAATTTTTTTTGCCTTGTTGTCTCGTTCTCTCCTCTCTCCTCTTTTTTATATCTTTCCTTTTATTCCATTAACATCTTGAATATTAACAAACCTTAAATATTTATTTATTATCATGAATTATTGAAGGGTCAAGAAAAATGGTCCAGTGTACGAATAACCGAAAAGAAAAATTCTATAAAAGTTGAAAATCACATTTCGATACATTCGAATTTAAATTTGAATGGATTAGATACCGATGCAGCGCTTAAACTTCATAAAGGAATTGGAAAGGAGGTAAACTTAATCATTCGTACTAACTTGATAATTGTTTGATGATATTTTTTTTAAATGGATTGAAGTGCTCCTAATGTTGAAAATTCTAACTCCATTAATGGTGAATTGTAATCATTTTAACGCATACATTCAAATTAGCCACATTAAAAACCGTATCCATCAATTAATAATAATTATTTCATCATCATTGCACGTTATGATTAGTTATCAAATTTTTTTGTGCATGATACATTATCCGAATATTACATAAAATATATCAGTAGTAGAGTGCATAGTCAAAATTAACATAAATTTAAGTTTTTTTTTAAAAAAAAGTCTTTAAGTTTTAATTTTCGTTGAAACAAAATTTGATGATCTACGAATCATTAATGAGTGAATGAATCTCCCATGTTCTTCCCCCATCCGATGAGAATGTAAATTGATATGTGTAATTGATTAAGCACAGAATCTTAAACATTTTACAGAACAATTCAAAATATAAAGTTCAGCCGATGGAAATTGATGAAAATCATAGAATGGTATTTAACTTTTAATTAATTAATTAATTAATTATTGACGAATTATCAAGCTGATTGTGTTTATAACAATAACGATTGTGAGAAGAGATCGATATCTTATTGAATTTCTGAATTTTCCTAAAATTGAGGCAAAAATGAAGTTGTTTTGGTTTCCTTAAAAAATATTTTCTCATTCGCAAATGATAAAGTTCATGACAAACTCTTGAAATTAATCCATTCACACTTTTACCCTTCTCGTTCTACGTTGTTGAACTTTTCACAATGCATTCAATTTAAAGGATGTCCAGAAGTATGCAGAAAAAGTTTGAAAATTGTTTTGAAATAATTATAAATAAATTAATTCAATTAAATGAAATTGATCAAGGGGTGATAGCAAAAGTGAGGAACTGATCATATTTAGATCAGCTTCAAACTTTTTTTTTCTCATTTTAATTGCACTTTATTGCATTTATTGACGACATACTGTCCGGAAATAATTCACATTTTACACTTTTGTATTTGTATGCATATAAATTAGTATTATGTAGGATCAAACTTCTAATCTTCATATCTAGGTTTCAAATAAACTAAGGCTCTCGTTTCGATCTTCTGTAGGCGTTACGGGATACTTTTCAGGTCCGTTCTATCAATATTCCATTCGTGGGTAATCTTGTAGCTCTCGTTCCTATTTCTCCCGCTACACTTCAAGTTCGTGACCCGTTCCTTAATCCAACGTTGCCCAAATGCCCAATTATGGCTTGATCTCGTACATTAAGCAGTCGAAGTATCTAAACTTCCGAAAAAGAACAAATTTGGAAATGGCTGGATTCGAACCGACGACCTTCGAGTTACCATCCCAAATTTGAGCCAAGCGCCTTACCTATTCGACCAGCAAGGCACTTAACTGCTTAACTCTTGAGTTGTACTGTAAATAGTTTTTAATATTCTTTCAGTTTTGGTTCAGATCAGACTATTTTCTGATATAAGTTTGGGCGTGTAAGGTCCAATTCCACTAATATGTGATTTATTGATTGATTTACATCTGCTCAGATCTCACTCCTTTTTAACAAATTCATTTTAATGACTATTCTACCTTTAAAACAACAACTGATCTCAATAACGTTTAAATCTTGCTCAAAATAAGCTAAATTTACAAACTTTGCATAGCACGCTCTCCCTTATCCTTGTAATTTCCATTTATAACTTGCTTCTTCAGCTTCTGCATCAGAATCTTTTCCTAATTAAGATTTCTATAACTCATTCAACGCCATTAATTGTAAAGCAAACTTTTAATCTGCTTGAAAAGCTTTGACATTTTCTATTGTGTCAAGAGGAATAGAAGGTCAAATCACAATTAAAACCATAACCAAGTTATAATCACATCGAAACGTGTCTTTCTTCAATAATTCACTGGACATCCTGTATTAATTAGAAATTTTATAAAAATTAATTTTTCCGCTTTTCTTTTCTTCTTATCATTTACATAATTTACAACTTCCATTGCATTTTCATTAGTGCTTTCTTATTTATCTTCTTGCCTCTCCCAAGCCCCTCTTTTTTTCATCCAAAATAATTTATCCTCAACTTTATTTTCTTCTACGCCTTAATGCAACTTCAACAAAACTTTTTAATTTTCATCTTTAATTTTCGAACTTGAAAAATTGAAAAAAAAATTCTTCTAACGATTTTTCACGTTTCTCTCATTTTTCTTTCTTTCTCTTTCTCCTGCCATGGATAAATATTCTTCCTATTTTATTCTTATTCTACTCTTTATCATACTTGCAAAATTTTTATTTTCTTTTGATTTTATTCTTACAGAACGATGGGAAATGCTCTGTGAATTCTGATGATGAAAAATACAAAAAGGTTTATTGACAATTTCATATCCTCCTTTCTCCTCCTTCTACTTCTTTTTCATTGGCATTGACTCATATCAATCATCACAATCAAAATATATTTCTATTTTTTTTTTTCTTGACATTTTATGCATCCATTGACAGTAACAATTTATTTTAATAATAATGGTAATGATTTTCCATAATTAAGTTTATGTGAGTTGTTTTGCTCGTCAAACTAGCTTTGGCGCATTTTCAAGGTAGTTACTAAGGTGGAAAAGGGAAATTTAGGATGTTATGGGGACTTTATTCAAAATTTGAAATAAAATTTTGTGTTCAATTGGTCTTTTATAGGCAACAAATCCATAACTCATCTTTAATAGTTTAGGGCTTATTTCTTGCTGATACAAAGTTCAAGTTCGCCAATGTTCTGCAGTTGAGACATCGACACAGAATATCTCAAATGGGACAAAAGAAAATAACAACTGTCCCATTCCGAATAATTCACCTTCCTGGCGCAATGTGCTGTGAACGAGCTGTTTTGATGTCAAATTACTATGAATAAATTGTTAATGGCTTTCATTAACAACTGTTTATGAAAATGACAATAAATAAGCTTATTCGATTTTAGTCCGCACTTTTAGTCAAGATATGACTATGAAATCTGACTAGATGAAGCCTTAAGCATAGTTTTGTAGCTTATCTAAACAATTTTGTTGCCTTATAGATCAAATAACTTCCAAATGTTCTAAGTTTCCCTTCAAATTCGACCAATTCAGTAAATTAAACTGTACACATTGGCTGAACACTCTAAATTGTAATATAAAGTAAGCAAATCGTCAATTATTCCGCCAAATATTCCAAAAACAAACTGAAAGTCAGCAGCTGAATCCACACAACGTTACTGAATGTTCAGCAACAACAGCACAGACATTTTGAAACAATAACAAATACAAAAGTTAAGCACTGCTTTCTTATCTTGATTATCATTTAACATGAATTCAAGTGCATTAAACTTTCAACTCACAAATGACCTGTGCTGTATTTAAAATTCAATAAACTTCCACTTCAAAAGTAGATACATAATGAATCAGTACAGACAAAGCAAGTCTTTTGATCCATAGAAAAAAGTAAAAAAAATAATGCTTCGATAATTTCATGAACAATTACAATCATATCGTCAATAGTAATTAATAGCAGTGAGTTGAATCAATAGAAATGATCATTATATTTAGGTTTTTACATTTCATATTGAATTATACAGGAATAAAAGATATAAATTATTCCAATTGTGCACTACCCATACGCCTTCTCATCGATTAAACAATTTTCTCTTTTTTATTTTTATTTTTATTTTAACTTTTGGCAAAAAATAAAAGTTTGTAAGACAAAAAATAAATCGCAAAAATTATAATGAAAAGCCGCGCATTTTTGTACTCTACTATGTGGTCTATGAATGTACAAATATAAATATTTTTTTTATCATTCATCGATTTTTAATGAAGCTATAAGCAATGGTAGGAGAATATAATAATACATTTCGGTAGACATTGGTGGATAGTGAATTAATATGAGATTGCGGTAAATATGCTTGGCTAAGGCTCAAGGCAAATGTATATTATTTTTCTATGAATAATACGGAAACAATATATACATACCAAAAATGAATCGAAAGGATGTGTATATCTATTCAAGTTTATGTTTTTTATGTTTTATGTCATCATAAAAACATAAATTGCAAACATTTTTTTTTTATGCTTTGCTTTCTTTCTTGATTCAATATAATGTTTCATTTAGAGGTTCCAAAAATGATATTGGGTATAAATATGTGTGTCATTTGAAAGCTGACTAAAGGAAGGGCGTGGAACTGATAAAAAAATAAGCTTATGCAGATCAATTCTGATCCATACGTGCGCTACAGCGATTCGCAGCTAATGGGTGTTTAACAAATAAGGATGTGCCAAACCACTGTACCTAGACCAATAGTTTAATGTGGGATCCGAACCTTGTTTTTCATGCCATTGTTGCCTGTTTCCTACAAAGGACTCTAGCTTCATTTCCAGTACATATGGTACTCGAATCCATGATCGCTGTGTCGGTTTTGCAATAATTTGGTACCAAAGGACGAAACCATTCTACCACCGAGCCACTCCAGCTCACAAACTTGAACTGAACAAAAGACTTTTTAATTGATTCAAAATAAAAAAAAATTGTTTTAAAAAAGATCAAAATGATTAAACAGTTTCGCACACTTGTTCTTTAAAATGTGGTAAACGTTTGTATAATTTAGCTATAAAAAGTTTAAATTAAAGTTTCATAGTTGGAACCTCTAGCTTGAACATTATGCGGAATACAAAGAAGACATAAAACTATAATATAAGAAAATACAATTAAAGACTAGAAGATATTTGCTGATGAAAAAACTTTTCAAGCAAATTTTCATTTTTTATTTCTTACGATTTTATCTCAATTTTGGATATAACATTAAATAATAATGTTTTATTGTATGAATGAAAATCTTGTCTTTTTCCACAAGAATGAATGAGGAAGATGATGATTTTATGTGATTTAATAAAGCCTGAAATCTCATTTTATTGCTCTTCAGCACAAGAAGGCAAGAAAGCAAATAATCAACAAGTGATATGCCATGAGCCATTTTAAAATTTATTGTTTTAAAAAAGTTTCTAACCATCAACTAATTTTTTTATTCCCCTCCACCTAACCTAATAATTAATTTTTTAATTCCTCTTTTTTTGTGATGGTTTTTTATGTCCCTAACATTTTGTTTAACTTTATTTTACTTTTATTCGTTAATTTATTTTTCCAAAAATTTCCAATTCATCAAATTTAAATGATTTATTATGTATGTGTGTCACAGGTGCTATCATTAGGAGCTGATGTATTACCAGAATATAAATTACAAAGTCCTATGGTCCACAAATGGACAATTCTACATTATTCGCCATTCAAGGCTGTATGGGATTGGATCATTCTAATACTTGTGATGTACACTGCAATTTTTACGCCATATGTGGCTGCATTTCTTTTAAATGAGCCCAATCTTGATAGTACTCGTAAACGAAAAGCGTCATATGCTGAAGACCCGATTGTGATAGTGGACTTGATAGGTATGTAGATTTATAATTTTGCATTTTATTGCGTTTTTGAACCATAAATTGATATTTACTCGCGACAAATTGGTTTAATTTTGTGGCGTCCTTGGGGTGCATTCACTTATGACGTCCTTCATTTTGAATATATGTTAATAATGTCTTCATAGTAAATTGACAAAAGAGTTAGAATGACTCTTCTTATTCAGGGGGGTCCAATAGGATCTTATAATTTAATAATTAAGGTACAACACTAAGCGTGAGGCAACTCAAAAAAATTATTGGACCACCTCTAGCAAGTTGTTTTGGCTATGTCCCTGCTTTGATCCTTTTATATGATTTTAATTAATTTTCTCTTTCTCTTCCAATTTCCAGTTGATGTAACGTTTGTGATAGATATTCTTATAAATTTTCGTACAACGTTTGTGAATGGTCAAGACGAAGTAGTTTCACATCCCGGTCGAATAGCAATACATTATCTAACCGGATGGTTTCTCATAGACTTAGTTGCTGCTATTCCATTTGATTTATTACTTGTTGGAAGCGACACTGATGAGGTAAATTTCCTTTTTATAAATTTTTCACCTATTTTCGCTTATGCGATGCCTAATAAATAGAAATTACGAACGAAATGAAAAAGAAATTATCAACCGAATGATTTATGCCATCATGACTTTTTAAGAACAGAAAATTTTTCTAATATTTAATTTCTTTAAATTTTGAGTTATTTTATGTTGTGTTAATTATTTTTAATCTCACGACTAATACAGAGCAAAATATAATATAGTAACAAAATCAGTATACGGTGTTTCCCTGAACATTTTTATATCTGATATGATTTTTAAATTACTTTTTAAGTTGACTATCTTTAGTAAATATTTTAGATGTAGATCTTAAAGTAGCATTATTTTTGGGTAGAATATTTGAATGATTTGGTGATTTATGCTCATAAAAGAGTCAATTACTTGAAAATAAAGCACATGATCAGCCTGAACTTCGCTCAATGCAACCCTGCAAACCAGCCTGGTTATACTAATTCTAACCTTTATCCACGTAGTTTTCCAGACGTGCTGATAAATTGAAATTTTTTTCTTTCGGAGGTACTTACTTACTTACAGTAACCATGTTCCTATGTGGAGCTTTGGTTACAACAAAATGCTTTACATCTGACTCTGTTGCTGGCATTGTCATCTAGTTTATGCAAATCCTCTGTCCGCATATTAAACTGACATTCTTTCATCACTGTTCTTGTGGAGGTATTGAATTTAAAACTCGGACTGTCTTGGTTTGTTCACCCATTAACTTATGCCTTCTCACTTTGGTATTCGCTTTAAGAAAATGTAATTTAATCAAATTTTACTGCAAAACTTGTTTAAGTTTCAATCTTATTAGCTACAATTATTTTTATAAAAAATCCCAAATCTAATTATTTAGTCTTACTGCATGCTCAATCTTATGATATTCAAAAGGGGTTTTCCATAGGTTTCATAACTTCCACACATGCACATATGTTGTGTATTTTATAAATTTTTAATGAAGTTGTTCATGAGCTTACAGTAAAACTTGAAAAGGGTGTATTCAAATGAACATGATGAAATCAAAAAATCATGAATTTTGAGCTGGGTAGACAAATTGTTGACTATAAAGATTTTTTTTCCGTCTTACGACTAATCCTTCAAAATTATTCAGCCAGTAAATAAAGTTTATTAATTACAGACGCATTAAAAAAGCACGAATAAAGTGAAAACTTAAAGTGCAATAAAAAGTTCATGCCCACAACTTTATGTCCTAATAAACTTCATCATTAAGTATCGAAATAAATGAAATGAGCATAAAACAGTCAAAAAAAAAAGGAAATGATCTATCCAAAAATATATTTTTATGATTAATGTGTGTAATTTTATTTGTTGTGTAGTTAAAAATATATGAGATACATACTAATCAAGATATAAATACGGGGGTACATTCATGTTTTTCTCTAGATAAACCTAATAACTCAAAATACTCCTACTAATGTTTTTTAAATACTTAATAATGAAATATTTTCTCACAATAATTTCACCACTCAAAAAATAATATTTAATATGTGTATTTACCCATTTACTCATTCTCCATATCTGTTTGAAATGTGTGTCTTTATTTTTTATTATTATTATTATTTTTGTAAATTTATTGTAATTATGTTTGAGTTATTTTTGAAACAGAAAAATTAATAATTATGATTATTAAATAAACAAACAGGCGTAAATTTATGTAACAATTTAGATCAGATTTAATACGACAGTTAATAATTATAATCAGTATGACAGAATCAAATGGCTGTGACAACACAAAAATCCTGTATATTTAAGAAATTTGATGCAAATTTAATTAAATGTCGGCACTATGCAATTTACACTGACTTAATGATGAAAGTTTAAACTAAATTTTGTAATTGCAAACCAGCAATTTATTGATTTGTATCCAATTATGTTGCAAATTTGAGATTAAAAATACAGAAATTATTATCAAAATTTCCCAGCTTTTTACAATAATAATTATTTTATGACAAACCAACAAAAAAAAGCTCACGTTAGACTTAAAAAACTGTTATTAAATCTCCGTTTATTTAATTACAGCTAGGCCTGAGCAAGGACGAGGTATTTCATGATTTTAAATTTATTTTTAAATGAAATAAAATACGAACAAGCAAAAATTATTATAAAAAATTTTCAAAGTGCCTATTTTATATTTATAAATAACACCATTTTACATAAAAAAATATATCACTCACTATTTTTAAAAGATTTTCGTTAAACTTATTTTATTTGATTTTGTATTTCCTTTTTGCTAAAATATTCAATATCGTATGAAATAAAATGTACATTTACATCAAAATCATATTGTAAAGACTCTACACACGAGAGCTTATAGCTTTTTTACGCATTTATTGCTGTACAATGTTTGATGAATTGTATTATTGATGAACAAGGACTTTTTAGTTGTTAAGCTAGTACTTTATATTCGTGTTCACACAATTTGAGTTTGTGTTGTAATGCAAATCCTTTGGCTATCTTCTTAAGGAAAATAGATGAAAAGCTAGAAATTCTCTTTTGTAAATAAAGCTACAAAAGAAAAATATAAGTGTGTTTTAAAAAACAGAGCACAGCATACAATTTTGAAGGCTATTTCATGTCAATTTTAGTCTAGAGCAGGCTTTAAATATAAAATCAAAAGTTCTTTATTCCCTTCGTACAATTTTCATTAAGTACGAGTAACTTTTTCTTTTTATTTTCATTTCATTATTTTTTTGTTTGTTTAATTTAATTTGTTTTACATTTCCTTTTTGTTATTTGTTGTCGTTCTCTGTTCTGTCTTTTTCCTCTTCTTAACTATCATTTCCTTGTTTACTTCTTGACCCACTGTATCTATCTCTTTTGATCATCATTATCATTCTTCTATCTTATATCCATTCAAGTGGGGAGAATTTTACCAGAATTTTGTGTGAAAGTTCAAATTAAGAAGCATTGTGGAGGTTAAATTTCAAAAATCTTTTAAAAAATGTTATTTTGTTTTATAAAAAATTAGATTAATTTAATAATCAAAAGTTCAAGACCGAACGTTTTCAAATTCAATAATTCAGTTTGATCTCTTTTGACTTTTAGAAACATATTCAAAGTCAATTCTCGCATTGATTTTTTAAACACTTTCAAATCTAAATCTTTGTAAATCTAAATCAAACAATTTAGAACTTATTAAATTGTAATTCCTCCTTAAGTTTCTAATCCGAATTATAATTCTAAGAGAATTTTTAACCAAAAGATTCCAAACAAAATCTCATAAGCTGGTAAAGTTTTCCCCATGAGTGTAAAAAAAATCAAACATCACATTTCTTAGTCCATAAAAAGCCTCCATGAATACTTTATCAAAAATAAGGTGTGGGCTATCATCATTAACGCTGTAAATATAAATCCTTTTTCCATATTGATGTTCATTTTATTTTTGTGATATAATCTCATAAAAAGTATTAAAAATAGCGACTCATAAAATAAATGACTAAAGTTAAGCTAAACAATTGTGGCAAATTAACAACAAGCAAAATGTAGCAGACTTTAATATTAAAAAACACTAAACTTAAAATTCAAATTAAATCTGCAATTATAATGAATAGCATTTGTAAATAATCTCCTCAGAAAGTTCAATTTGTTACCAAGAATAGTTCAATACAATAATTCAGCACAAACATATGACTGTTGATGTTGATGATTGTTAATGAAATTGGCTATCGAAAAGCATACTAATTGGAATTTCCGAATGAACATTTGTAATTGATGGACGATTTTTCAGTTATGCAATTTCAATCCCTTTGTTTATTTTTGATACAATCAAAAAGTTTTGTTTGAGTACTTTTAGATTTAAATTGGATCATAGAGCTTAACTATATCAATAATCGTTAAACCTTCTCAATCAAGTTTAAATTCTTTGTTAATATAAAATGTCTTTAAATCCATTTTAAACAGTTTTAAGTGATCCACTCACCATCAATATTTCTTTGACATGGCTAAAATCTTTTCTTTCGTATGCTTTTCAACGTTTCATCCTTTTTCAATTTACTTCGATTCTTGACAATACTCAACAATTTGTAGTTCACTTTAGTATGACAAATATGATCATTATTATTGAGTTGTAGAGATAAATAAAGAAAGCTTTTTTATGCGATGCTTTATTGCTATTTTATTGGCTTATTATATTCTTATGATGGTCTATCTGGCCCAAGGGGAAAACAACATGATTAGAAAAAATTTTGATTAGAATTTGACTAAAAATTTTCAGCTCTGTTGGGAAATTTGAATTCAAATTATGACTTAACATTATTTCGCATTGTCATGTTGTTTTCCCCTTGCTCTGGCCGCTTTAACATTTGTATTCAAATGTATGCAAAGAAGATATTCAATATACATTATAAATCTGCTGAATCTCAGTTGCTTTGTATCTGATGATTCTTTTTGTTGACATAACGAAAGTTGAGGAAATGGAAGCAGAAAAATAATCAACAAATTATCAAAAAAAGTTCCATTCTTTTGTACATATATGTGGATTATATCGCATAAGTAAGCTTTTATGTCTGAATATTATACATATTTGTAAACTGTATTGTAGTAGGTTTATTGTAAAGATATTGAGCTTTTATGAAACATCCAGAGAAAAACATTTTTTCGCGAGCTATAGTTTTTACTTCTACTTCTTTCTGTTTTTATTCAAATGAAATGGAAATAGAAACTTTTTTTTTGTTGTTTCTTCTTTTTGTGTATTTTTTCGATTATTTTTTATATGAAATGACTTTTTTTGTATTCTTTGTTTTTGTATAAGACTGATGAACACCGAGGACAGACACATCTCTTGTTAAGATCTAAATTTTCGACCCTATTATGATGATAATAATTGTCATTTCTCTGTCTTCGGGATAAAATTGATAATTGGCAAAATAAATAAATCGACCCACGCGGAGTCATTCGCTCAAAATTATCTAACCTTAAAATAATGTTTTGTGCGACTTTAATTTTTCAAGTAGAAATAAAATTTTGTTTTTGCATTTTTTCTTTTTCTTCTTCAACCTGAAAATATCAAAAAAAAAAATTAAAAATTTGAAATTTCGAAACTTTTTTTTGAAATAAAAAACTAAATGAATGAAGGAAATGGAAGAGGTAAGTTCTTAGAAATCCTCTAATGTAAAAACAAAACAAAAATATGACAAAAATGTTTTTTTAAAAAATAAAAATAAAATTAAATCCTGGTTTTTTGATGTAACTCCTCCCCCCTTAATATGTTAGATTTCTATTTCCTTCTCCTCCCCCTTAACACATTTTATGAAACGATCTGTAAACTTTTATGTTATTTGTAGTACGATTATCCTGTCCTCCATAGACTTTATTTCTTATTTGTTTTTCTCTTACATCCTCTTTATAATTAAATATTGCACTATTTGATATAATTGTTGAACTTACTGTCTTGTTGAAGTATATCTATAAATCTCATTTTATTTATTATACAAATATGAACGTTTATGCATCTATCTATAGCGGTAGCAAGAATATTTTTGTTTATTGTTACACAAAATTTTGTTTGAGATCAAAAAAATAACCGGAACTGCAAATATAAAAAATTTAATTAATTTGCCACAAGCGAACAAATGGAAAAAAAAATTGCTCGCATAAAAAGTGATAAACGGAAGGAATGCGGAAAAATACAGCAGAAAAAGATTCATTAAATAGTGAAAAAATTAATTTACATTATTTAATTCACAAGGACTGGATATTGAGCGAGATAATAAAGAATTCAATTAAAGAAATAATGAGGAAAATTCTTTTGGTCGTGTATCATGCAATATGGAATGATTCATGTCTGAAAATGGTAAATTTCCAAATGGGAATTACTAATGAGATTGAACTTAGCTTTAGTTAAAGACTTACAATAGAATCCAGAATTGCTTTTTGTCTTCAATTTAATGTTTTAAAAAATAAATTCTGATATTGATTCGCTTTGTTGTGTAGTTTAGCAATAAAACCAGAGATCGAAGCCGATTTTTTCGGCTTAACTCAATTTTTGATTTTTTTTGATAGAAAAAAGCCATTTAACACCCATTTTAAGTATTTGAATTGAACTTTACATGCTTTACTATGATTCTGTGAAATATTTTTTCAGCATGTAGCTATAGTGAGCTCAGAATTTCAAGTTAAAGAATGTTAAGCCGAAATTTAAGCCGATCGGCTTAAAATCGGCTAAATTGAAATTCAGAGCTTACTATAGCTACATGCTGAAAAAATATTTCACAGAATCATAGTAAAGCATGTAAAGTTCAATTTAAATACTTAAAATGGGTGTTAAATGGCTTTTTTCTATCAAAAAAATCAAAAATTGAGTTAAGCCGAAAAAATCGGCTTCGATCTCTGAATAAAACCAAATTTTAAACAACAAACGCTTACAAAAGTGTTTAGGACTTTTTTAAAAACAAAATTCAAACCTTTTAATAAAAATATTAAAAATCCCTTCATTTGTAAATGTTAATACAAAACCTTTTTGACATAGTTTGTTGGTTATTTTTGTAAGGTATAGTGTGCAATTGAAATGGTTCCTGAAAATTGCGAAATATGGGAATTTTACACATTTCAACAAAACTGAAAACAGCAAAGTTCCACTCAGCAAAATTGATGTTTTCTGATTTTAACGAACAACATTTACGTATTTATAATTAAAAGCTTGAACTATCGTCAAACTACGATTGAAAATTGCTATGCCAACGTCAAAAATTTCCAAAGCGTAAATTTGAGTGCAATTGTTTATTCATCAAAGCTCAATGTTCAGTTCTTGGTAAAATATTTATTTATTCTATTAGAACTAGACTAGGTAGTTAAACTAGATTGAAACTTCTAATTTTTTTGAATGTAATGTATATTGAATGAAACTCGGCTTCTTTATTAATTCCTAATTCTCACTTCATGGTTCATAAGGTTTCATGAAATTAACTTTTCCTGCAACATTTTGCTTCCGACTCGCTGCATCCTGCTAACAAGCTAATGAATAAAATGAAAAAGCTATTGCATTTAATTTGACAAGCGTCTCAAAATTTGCTATGGAAATAATGAGGACAATTTCATTTTTTTTTAAAGATAAACAAAAGAGAACATTGATATAGAAACGACTGAGGCACCGCTACAAACTTATTCTCCCATTTATCATCTCATTTTTCATTATTTTCTTACTTCTTCTTCTTCTACTTCTTTTTTTGTCAACTTTTTTCCTTCTTCTTATTCTTTCTTAAACTCATAGTTTATTGCACTTTTTACTTAATTTTCAATGTGACTAAAAATAATGAATTAATAATAAAAATATTATAAAACAATTTATAACTCACACACATACCTACACACATAAAGTGTTGGACAACTTTTTATTTTTTGGATATTCTCCATAAAAAGAATTTTCTTTCATTTTTCGTTTAATTCGTGTCTTGAAGTTTGATTGAAAAGCGTGAAAATGTCCAAATTACATTGTTTATGGTCATAAAAAGCAAATGGCTTGACAAGCTTTGAAAAATTGCTTTGATTTTAATAGGAACTTTTGGATTTTTAACACATTTTTTTCTCCGTGAGTTGAATTGACTAGAATTAACTGTGAAAAATGAATCCATCCAGTCAAAGATGATTGATGATTAAGCAAAAAAATTCCAATTAAGAAGTATTTACATGCATAAGTCTAAGAGATGTCAAATGTGGAACTTTGGAAGAGGTTCAGCTGTAGCTTAAAAGCTTTTGCATTTGCTTATGTAAACCTAGCTGTGATTTGAGCATATACCTAACATTACGATCCTATTAAAACCTTTGTTTGGCATAGACCAAAATTGTTTTAGTTGGAATCACCGTCCTTTAAGATGTCTTCTGTCAAAAATATGGATTTTTGTGGAAATGAAATACGATCTAATCATAATCTACATACTATGAAGCAATTATTTTATCGGCTAAAAAGTCAAAGGCTTACAGGTTACTTGCAAAGCCAAAAGGGAAAGCCTCCTAACATTTTCGCTGATGAAAATATTATGGATGTGCCATAATCAATGCCTGTTATAGGATATTGACTGCAGACTCAAGTTTGACTTTCTAAAATCTGAAAGCATGAAGCAAAATAATTGCTAGCAGACTAGATTCTTATCAGATGCTTTTTTAAATCCACAAACATCCAATGATACACATCATTAGCATTCCAACAGCCTTAGTCGAGATGAGTTTACACAAAAAAAAAATTCATGATTCGCTAATAATTTACTGCCTTATCATCTTAACAATTTCTTAGTGTATTCCTAGATTGCTTTACAAATTTATTTAAGTGTTATTTTGGCTCATATCCAGCTGAAATTTTCTTCACTTAACATAATTCACTCAGACAAAAAGTCGTATTTCAAGAAAAATGTGTTAAAATTCAATTTTAGTGATGCCTCGTAGTAATAAAATAAAATTGGAATAAATCTGCTTACAACATTAACTTCTGAACCTGCCTGAACATTTCATCAACATTTTCATATTTCCATGTAGACTTCTCGACCTTTTCATCCCTTTCCCTTTATGTCCTTTATAAATAATTATGTTTAAGAATTAAAATAAACATGATCCGTACATTGACACGGATGTTCATTGATGTTGACTTTTGAAGAAAAAAATAAGAGAAACTTAAAATTCAAAGTTGACCAGCAACGGCACTAATAAATAACAAGAAAAAAAAATGATGAATCACACAAAAGATCACAAACAAAATTTTTTATATAAACTTTTACAAAGAAAAACAAATTTGGCTATAAACATTGAGACATTAACAATTCTAATATCTAAATAAATTTTAGACTACAACTCTGATCGGATTGTTGAAAACGGCACGTTTACTTCGACTCGTAAGAGTTGCTAGGAAAATTGACAGATATTCAGAATATGGAGCTGCCGTACTGGTGCTTTTGATGGCAACATTTGCCCTTATTGCTCATTGGCTCGCTTGTATTTGGTACGTAACTGGAAACAACAGAAGAATGTGACGAAAAGTGAAGAATAAAAGAACAAAATAATATGGATATGCTTCTTCCCTTTTCAAATAAATCATAATTTATTATCATCATCATAAAAATCATTATCGTCAGCACTTCCTTTTCCCAACAAGAGTCGTGCTTGAGTTCTTTCATATTCATCTGTATATACATCACATATGTTGCTCATTTATATTTTTTCTTTCTGTCTCTCTTCCCCTTCCCTGTTCTTTTTCTTTTTCCTAATTATTATTAATGAAGGTATGCAATCGGCAATGCAGAACGTCCAATGATGGAGCCAAAATATGGTTGGCTTGATGCATTAGCTGAGGCTACACATCAACCATATTATCCAAATAATACAGGCGGTGGACCGAGTATAAAGGTGAGATTTATCGATTTACTTATTCATTTGTGAATTATAAAACTCTTTTTCTTTGTCGTCATCATAAAGTTTTGTTCTTATTATTCAGCAACCTTTTTTTTCGTCGTTGGGTGTGCTGACATTGAAGGAATGAAAATTTATTCAATGGTTGTGCTACTTAACTTTTTCGAAATGTGAGTCTCTTTTGTCACGAGAGATGGTGTTCATGACTTGAAAGTGCGATGGATTTTAATTTAATACTACCGTAAACAGAATATCTGTGGAATATTGTAATTTATTATGATAGCTTTATGAGGTATTGAATTTAATTCTGGAAATTAAAGGAGATTTTTTTACTTGATATGAAGTTTATAAAGATTATGACGTAAAGTTATTTAAGAGGGATAGCTTTATATCTTTTAATGCAGAGCTACATTCAGTTGCAGAAAAGAATATCTTTTCCTAAGTTATTCACAGATTGGGCGTCGTTTAGATATTATGTAGCACTTTTTCATGCAAATAATGCTATAAGGTGTTAATAAATGGTACTTTTAAACTGATACGAACAATTCAAGGGTTTCGGCCGTTAACTTGTGAAAATGTCGAAGAAAACTTGTGAAAATGTCTTATTTGTCTGTCTGCCATACAAAATTCGATGTTTCATATCCTGCGAGTTCGAAATTTTTGAAAATTAGAATTAAAATAATGACAAGTTTAGATTAAGTTTTTTATGATTTAAATATAAGTTCCTATCAACCCTTAGAAGTTATGTAAACCAATCCTTCTAGAATATAAGCTTTTATTCTTTCCTTCTTCATTGCAAAGTTTTTTAATTCACAGTGACAAACTTATATCATCTCAGTGACTTAAATGCAAATAGTTAAGTTTGTTTTTTCATCTTACAAACGTTTCTAAGAGAAGTGGTAAAGCATAACAATAAGCACTATGGAAATTTCTTGAACAGTCTAAGCGTTGAGTAAAAAAATTTATCCAACAACTCGTGAACTCAAACACATTTTTCTTGTGTAAAACATGTCTTCTTAGCTACGATACTGAACTTAGATGTGATTTACTCAACGTCAAGGGAATGATCTGAGTCAGTCATCTTAGTGCTAACCTTGTTAGAATTGTTGTTGTACTGAATATTAAAGAAATTTCTCGATTTTTTCCAAACATATATGGTAGAATATGTAGAAATGTAAAGCTATTCGAGCAAAAGAATTCCTCTAAAGTTGGTCAGAAGAAATAAAATTTTTTTTTAACATTTTAGAAAACTAATTAAGTTTGAGTTTTAATAGATTGAAAAAATATTTTGTGATACCGGAAACTATTGATCAAAGCCAAGTTCTACATTCTCATATCAAAATGTCATAACTTTTTTTTTCATTTTAAAGAATCGTTTGAAAACTTATGTCATCAAAAAATGTTCGAAAACTTTCAAATTTTAAAATTTCCAAAAAATAATTTTCTGAAAGTTTCATCTTGAGCACTTCAAAGTGATGTTAATTAAACTTTGTTCATTAAAAAAATTTGCTTCGTTAATGGACAGATTATGTCTAAAATCTTATAAGATCTGAAATGATTTAAATTAATATTTATGAGAGTCTATCATATCTTCTTGAATAAGGAACATTCTAAAGTAGATGCAATTTATCAAATTACAAAATATGAGAAGTTATGTGCTTTATGAGTTTGACTTTACAATGAATATATATGATATGAATTTATTAAACTTACAGAAGAGAACTTTCCCATTTTACTTCAATAAATGACATCTTTTTGCCCTTGGCAAACTATGGATCATATAAACTAGCAATAAGCTTTATATTTCATTTCGCATTCTTTCTAGAATATCAAGTTACTCAATAAATAATACAAGAACATTTTGTTAAGAATTTTTCATCATATTTATCATGTGAAAGTAGCAAAAGTAGCTAAAGAACATAAAAATGCATTTCATTAGTGTCATATGTCTCGAATGGAACAATAACTCCTTTTTTCTCACATATAAAGCACAACATAATATTATCAACCTAAAAACATTACTTCCTCGTTTTCCTTTTTATTCCTTTTCAACCCGTACATATCTCATCTATGGGATTATTTCATTTCGTTACAGTCACGTTATGTAACAGCCCTTTATTTCACATTTACGTCGTTAACGTCTGTCGGATTTGGTAATGTTGCACCAAATACAGATGCTGAGAAAATTTTCACCATTTGTGTTATGTTAGTCGGATGTGAGTATAAACAACATACAAATTTAATAAGCAAATAAAACCTAAAGCAACTTTTTTTCTCTTTTACATAAAAGCTCTCATGTATGCCAGTATCTTCGGTAATGTATCGGCGATTATTCAACGACTATACTCTGGCACAGCACGATATCATACACAAATGCTAAGAGTTCGCGAGTTCATTAGATTTCACCAGGTATGTAGACGACGTGGATAATAAACTATCTTTAGTCAGACAATGGCATTCAGTTACATTCATTAGTGGTTTTCACAGGCAGTGTTGTTGTCTATGGCTATGAAGGCAAATTGCTACAGTCTAATCACATGCATTGAATATCATTGACTCTTGATCAAAATGTTCATTGTCAATTGACGGACAGATCAATAATTGAAATTGAAGATTTATCTTGAATCCAAAAAATCCAGCCTGGATCTTCAGAAACCACAGACAAAGACACCTGCCAACCTTAAACAATTGTTATCCACACAAGATATCTAAATGGAATTAAACTTACTATCTCTTTTCCTTCTATCTAATCTAGATACCAAATCCATTACGACAACGATTAGAGGAATATTTTCAACATGCATGGACGTACACGAATGGCATTGATATGAATTCCGTGCTGAAGGGATTTCCTGAATGTCTGCAAGCTGACATATGTCTACATTTAAATCGTAATCTACTAAGTAACTGTTCAGCATTTGATGGCGCCTCACCCGGTTGTTTACGAGCGCTTTCGTTAAAATTTAAAACTACACACGCACCGCCAGGAGACACTTTAGTTCATAAAGGAGACGTTCTTACTCATTTATATTTTATAGCACGTGGATCGATAGAGATACTTAAGGATGATGTTGTGATGGCAATTCTAGGTAGCTATACATATATAAAAGGTGTTAAAAGAACAATTCTAAGAAAAATCTTCTTTGAAACAGGAAAAGACGATATCTTCGGTGAAAATCCGTGCATTTATCCAACACTCGGAAAATCAAATAGCAATGTTAGAGCTCTTACGTATTGTGATCTACATAAAATATCTAGGGACGATCTTTTAGACGTTTTAGATTTATTTCCCGAATTCTATGATAGCTTTTGCAATAGTTTGGAAATTACATTTAATATGCGTGATGTAAGTTCCTATTTTTCTTGTCGATTGATATATTTCGATGAGAATTTTATATGTGTGTGCGTTCCTATATTAGAATATATATCCTATATCAGTGTTTAGTTTAAAAAATTTTAGATTTAGATAATTTAAAAAGAACATTTCAATATTATAATTTTTAAAGGATGAGCAAGCCGGTGTAGAAATAAGACATAGATTTTTCAATATGATGAGATCAAATTCACAAGATCGAAATAGTGATACTAGGTCCATCAAAGGTCCAACGTGAGTATTATTTGCTTTCTATTGTTATTCATATTTTTGAGATTGAATTTAATTGAATTAAAAGTTTTTTGTTCAAAATTATGATAATTTCATAGATAATTATTTACATTAGAATTGATTCATAGCTTAGGCTAGAAAAAAGTTTTTAATTATAGAACAAAAGAGCTTACAAAATTTAGGCAAAAATATGAAAAGAGTTTCTATTATTAGGAATGTTTTTGGGGTTTAATATTAAATGGTATTTAAAAGTTTATGCTTAATGAGATTTTTCGAGATTCTTTCGGTACGATGTTGGAATTTATGTTAAGCACATCAAGTGTTTGATGAGATTCCATACAATTTTAGCTGCTTATTGGCTGATATCATAAAATGATTGTTATGTCTACAAACATTTAATACTAAACTGCCATGAACATTATTGGCTGAAAAGCTCAAAATTCCAGGGGTGACAAGCAATTTATTGCTTAAATTATGTGTTGCTAACAAAAGCAAGTGTTCGAACTTGACGATTCAAGGAAATGTGATTAAACTAGGTTTTCTCAAAAACTAGTTTCTATTACAGTCAGATCTTAATAAGGAAGTGCTAGGAACAATTTTTAGATCGCTTCCAAATTTTATGCCATTTTTCCAAAGGATTAATCCCAAACTATTGAAGAAAAGAATCGCAGCACTTCCTCTTATGATTAGGGTGACCATCTAATTTTTATGAAAATACAGGACATTTGATTAATTTCCTAAAAAATACAGGACACAAAGGAAAATTTGAAAATTAACGTGAAAAAAATACAGGACCTGGAACAAAATTTTCAAATTTATACAGGACAGGGGTTTGAAATACAGGACTGTCCGTTGTAAAACTACGCAGATGGTCACCCTACTTATGATCTTTCAAATTCCTGTGCTGGAATTTTTTTGAGGGAATTTTGGGATCAATCTTAAGTCTTTTGTACCTGATTAAAGTTTTTAAAATATAAATCATACCGTCCATCTCAGCGAGAAACAATTTTAATTTAAATTGCCACCCCTGGTCTCACCCCAATCCAACCAATTAATAATCAAAAATAACTTTTTCAGAACCAGCTTTCATCCTCCACCCGTACATCATTATCATCGGCCACATTCACATCATTCGCAAAGTGTGAATAAGCACGATGCCACCCATGATCGACACTCAGTGGGGCAAATAAGTGAGAATATGGAATATGATAACGATAGGAAATATTCAATATCCGGTATGTAGTACTAAAGATTTTCTCCATCTTTCATCTCGTTGAGCTATAATGTATAACTCTTACTACTTTGCACTTTAACACAAAACTTTTATTTCTTTCCGTAACACTTTGACTTTTTCCTTTACACTTCCTTTCTTCTTGTTCTTCCTGAGAGCTTTTTGAGATTTTTTTTTAAAGCTATGACAAATATCTTGTTTTGTCGTGCGTTTAAACGAGGCTTTTTAAGAACAAGAGGAAGAGAAATGTGAAGCTGAAGGTTCGATGTGATGAGGGCTTTATTTATATAAGAAGATAATATTTTTATTCTATTAATAGTGCTTAGAAAAGAAAGTAAAGAATCTATTTTGAATTTTTCACGTTTTCTTTTTTCTTTCTTTTTCCTCCTACTTTCGTTCTTCTTTCTTTTGTAATCTACTGTCTTTCTTTTCTCATTCAAATTTTTATCACTTAAACTGAATAAATTGTAATTTTCTATAACAACACGACTCACATTGCCTAATAAAAAATACACTTCACATAACACCTTCATTTTCACTGTTGGTATTGATAATAATCAACATTTATCACGATTGTTACTCCCACAAAAATCCCACAATTTGATTATTATTGGCAACAAAAATGAAATTTTCTATTTGATGGAATTTTTCTTTATTCTGTTAAATGGGAAAAAAAATTGTATAAAAAAAAATACACAATACACACTTATATAAGGATTTGTATCAAGTATCAAGAGAAGCATACCAGATTTGAGATCAATAAAGCATCAGCCACTTGAGAATTGCAATGGTAAGGATGGAAAATGATTTCGATTTGGCTTCCCTTCCTTGCTTTTCCTTTTAAGTACACAAAAAAAATCTTTACTCAATTTACACTTATTCTGCCGTACTGCTGTTGCCTTGTCGCTGTTATTTCTTTTGTTCAGTTGGTGGTTTTGGAGGTTCCAAAATGTTTTATCCAAATTCATTAAAGCATTGGTGTAAATCAGTGTTGTCCAAACTTTTTGAGCCATTACACATCTTAAGGTATGCCATGACCGAAGTCGCACACATCATGCGGCTCGTATCATTTTTATAGGACACAGTTTAGACAACACTGCTGTAGATAAACCTTATAAAATTTAAGGTTATACAAGTCAGATCGTGCTTTGTTAAAGCATAAAGAAGTTGAAAGTTTATGAAAACTTTAGTCCATTGCAGCTATTGAGTTTAATCAAACGTTTCTGTCTAAAGTGTCAAATACAAATTTTCATAAGAAAATCACAAAAGCTGTCATGTTTGGAACCTCTAACTTCTCTGTAGACGAACATAATGGATAAAAATAAGGCAAAAATCTTGTAGCGATAACAATGTGAATGCTGCAAGCAATTTATTGAATGTTTTGTTTCCTTTATAATAGATTTAACTACTCAGAAATTGTACATATAAAATAGAAGCAGTATAAAGTCTGTCGATGTGTTTTTGTAATTGTCATGCTGATTTGTTTTTCTTGATTACATCCAACATAAAAATCTCAATTTTCAACGCTTTTATGTTTATTTATTGCACAATTTACTTCTATCTTTCTATCTATCCTTCCTCTTGTTTTCTTTTTCTTTATTTACTAACTGAACTGTAAAGATTTTATGTTTCCTAGCATTTCAAAGAAGCTACAAACGTCACAAGACGTTAAAAAAAAGTTTAGAGACATAATTATCATTGGAAACTGTTTTTTTCTTCTTCCCTTTTTTTGTCTTGTCTCATTTCATTCATTTAGTCACGCCAACGGGAAGTCCAAAGGGCTCATATAAACGAAGTATCTCAGAAGACCAGCAACCGCGTGATACGGTAACATTAAGTGCTGTGAATAATCAAATATGTAGTTGTAGTGCTAAAGGAAAACTCAAAGAAGGAAGTATAAAGAGCACAAGTAGTCCTGAGGATGATGGATTTCAACATGCTCCGACATCATGCTGTAAATCTAGCGATAAAGAGTAAATTAAATATGATGTTAAAATTGTTTTAAATTGTTTACAATGCCTTTTCCTCCCTTCCAGTCTAATAAAAAATCAACTTGCTGAAATGACATCACGAATAGATAATTTAGAAACAACTCTTCGCAAGGACATCCATTCGATTCTAGATCTGTTGCATCAACAACAACAAATTCAATTACAAATGCATCATCAGCAAATGCAGCAGCAAGCTCAATCGCAGACTCATATTTCTGGAAGGTAAATGATTTGGAAAATGAAATTGTCATCAAATTTCCGATTATTAATAATGGCTTCACTTAAATTAATTTAACATTGATTATCTATGGATTATAAACTTCGGAGCACTTCTGATTGTTCAATCGAATTGAATAACATTTCCTGGTTTGGTTTTCTGAAATTGTATTTATGTCAATTAAAAAAGATTGTACTTGAAAATTATATGAAAGATCTGTGTCGCATTTAATCAAGAGTGATTGTTATTGGTTATTTGCTTTAACAATTGATTTTAGAGTATTGATGATAAATAATTAAGTTTGAGGAATTAATTAAATTCTCATTAAAGTCATTGAAGTTAATTTAAATATTAAGGATTGATACTAGATTTATCTTTAGTAATAAGATTTCACTTGATGTCTAAGATGTTCTTTTTCAATGTCTTTATATGTAAGAATGCACTAAAGCACTAATTTAGGGGTGTATGTAGATACATCTTTGTCACTAGCAAATTCAAATTTCAAGAGAATTTCATAGCATAATCCATGGATCAAACATAAACATCTAGAAACATTTAAACAGAAAAAAAATTCCTATCTTCTAAAACCTTCAAGAATCTCCATTAGACTCACAGTTTTTAATTCGAGAATTTTCATTTTATCTTCTCATTCATGCATCATCTTTTTTTTCTGTTTTCCGTGTGTGTTGTTGTTGCCTTTTTTTTCTTTCTCTCTGAACATTCGTAACTTTTGTTAGCACTAACGAATCTTACAGACCAGCAGCATCATATCAGCCGTCCGAACGAAGCGATTTTTCTTTTGATAATTTAAGTACAACAACAGACAACAATGTACAGTCAAAACAGCCTCAATCTTTACCGCCTCCACAACAACCACACCAATCCCAAGCGTCAAGGAATGTGCAAAGATCTGTTTCACAGCCGGAATGCGCCAATGAAAAGAGCTTATTCAAGTGAGTTTTGAACGGAGAACATTATTGAGTGGATGGAATGTTTCCACTTCTGAATGCGAATGCTTTGATATCAAATATTGATTGCTATTCTTTGTTTTAGATGTTCGAAGTTCTCATCATTCAACCAGCCAATGGATGATACGAATGAGAATTGGAATATTTTCGCACCCATCGCCAAACTTGAATCACTCGACGAAATTGATCAAGTATGATAAATTTAAAATTATAACAAAACTCAAATGAAGTCCTCTCTTTTTTTTAAATTTAATAATATTTCAACTTAACTTAAATTTAATACTAATGAGCACTTCCTAGATGTTCATAAATACTAAGAACAACCTTATTGAAAGTTATGCATTAAACTGTAAAGAATGACTCAACATAACTTTTATTTCTAGATTTTTTTATGTTTGACATCTTTTTTTTCACTAGTATTAGAACTTTTTAAAATTAAAAAAATAGTTCGATGTGATGAAAACCTTTTTGCCGTACACGCGTTTGATGTCAAAATCGCGCTGCATTGACAAAGTTTTAATTAATTTCTCTCTATGTGGCTGAAAAGTTTTTATCACAACAAAAAAATTATCATCAATTTTTATCAATCACGTATTTATTTCTATGACGAAACATTTAAGTGCTATGTAAAGAATCTTGTCATTTTATAAAACATTTTTTAATATCAATAAGTGTAGCTAGCATTAAAAATGATAAACTTTTGCTCAACATTTTTGAACCTTAATCCAAAAAGCTTTCATTAAAGGAAAACCAATAATTATGACATTTTTATTGAATAAAGGGAGAAGCGGATGAGTTCTGATTCTGATTTACTGAGCTCTTGATGCTTTTTAATCGAAATATTCAAATAAATTTATTTGCATATAGTTTGAAGAAATAAACTTGATTGATTGAATTAATTTAAACTTTAAAACTCAACGCTTTCCAATATATTGAAGTTAAACCTGGTGATTTAATGTAGACATGACGTTTTAGACACTCAATACCCGCCTCAGATAAAGTTGCATACTTTTAATTCTGTGCAATCTAATCTGAACCTTAATTTCAACTCAAAAAAGCAAATCCTCCATCAATCAAGAAAGTTTCCACCACATTCTCAGATTGTAAACTGTAAATACTCGAAAAAAGTTTTTAAAGTTTTCCTTTTAATTCATTTTATATTTAAGCTTTCGCTTGAATTTTTTTTTTCTGATCTCTAACGTTTTGATTTTTGATATATTTTGCCAAATTAAACTCTAAGTTAAGTAAAACGGGAACATTCCTAGACTTTTGTTGGATCTTTAGGAACAAATCTGTAAGATAAAACTAATGACTCAATTGAAGATGCTGTAAATAAGTTTTTAATTGGTTTACAAACTCAATTCAAAGTAAATAATTAGATAAAATTAAGGTTGACTTGTTTTTCTTATCATGCGTGATTTCTAATAACTGAATAGTTTGAAAAGTTCAAGTCAAACATTAGAATGAAATTAAATGAACTTCAATTTGTTTTCCAAGGAAACAACATCTCTGGAGTAATTTTGACTGAACATCTAGGTTATTAAAATTCATCAGAATCAGGGGGAAAATAACTTGGTGTGAAACGTGTACGCCAAAAATTTCACAAAAATGACGTGAAATTTCACGCCATTTCACGCCAGTTTCACGCCAGTGGTGTGAAATTTCACTCCATTTCACGCCAGTGGTGTGAAATTTCACAACTCTGGTGTGAAATGGCGTACACGTTTCACACCAAGTTATTTTCCCCCTGATCAGAATGCATCACTAGATTGATTCAAAAGTTTATGAAATTTTTCTCCTTTACTGCTTCTTATTTATCTAATTTAAGTCGTTAACGACAACGACATAATAATTTATTTTGTAAATATTTTTTCATTCCTTTAACAAATTTACAACTTTATTTTACTCATTAGCAACTAATTTAGTTCAACTTAGTTAAGCGCACCTTAATTTTTAATTGACTTCTTACCTCCTTTAACTTATAAGTTCAAATTTATTTTTCCTTCCTTTTAAATGCAAAACAATCTTTTTTCTTTTATTCTTTGTTCTTTCTTTTCAACAGGAAAACAAACATTCCGAAACAGAAACTCCTGAGCAAGAATAAGTTGAATTTCCTTTATTGAGAGTTTGTTTTATTATCCCCAAATTTATGTTCCTGATGTAGCACAAAAAAAAGAGAGATAAATGAATTAAAATAATGAGAATTTTTATGAAAAAAGACGTCCGTTATTATTCCTTGTTGTTATTAACTTATTTATTGATTTAATTACATTAATAATATTTAAATAATAGAATTATTGATGATATTCAATCATTGAGTATTGTTAAACGATGAAAAATACATTTTATTGCGATAATATCAAAAAAGAAAGCAAATATCCTGAATAAACGATTTGCTATAACAATTTTTCTATTAAGGAAAAACTACATTGCCAAATATGAGAAAAGAATCTTAATTAAAGTGAAATAAATTTCATTTTTAAGTTTAACTTTCTTAAGTTTGCTTTATTGTATATTACTAGAAATTGATTACGAATCTTTAAATGATTAAAACTTTTGTTGGTAAAAGTTTTTGGGTGCTTTTGAATTTTTCGAATTCAAATTGAGGATCAACTTACGAAGTTGGTTTGTAAACTTTAGTGAAATATAATTTTTCCCAAAATGATCTAGTCAAAGTTGATTTTAAAATAAATTTCAAATAATTTCAAACAATTTGATCATTTTTGAACAATTTTGAACAATTTGGAATAATTTTGTTCAATTTTGAACAATTTTGATTAATTTTGAACAATTTTGATTGATTTTGAACAATTTTGACCACTTTTTTGTTATTGTTGATCAGTTCCATACTCTAGTTCTAGTGTAACTTTGCATTAGATCATATTTGATCCGAGCATCTAAAGCTTTTGATCCATATGAAATTATTTGAACAACAATTCGAAAATCTTTAAGAAGATTTCAAAATCAAAATCAATCAAATCATAAAAAAAATAAAAATTTCAATTCTGCAAATTCAAACCTTTACTAAGCAACCCTCAACACTCACCAACAAAAAGTCATAGTCAAGCTTATTTAAAAACAGCAAAAAAAGTTAAATTTTAAATCAATTGTAAGTGAATATCAATTTTTTGGGGGCCACTCAATTTATAAATTGTAAATCTTAGTTATTAAAAAATTATTCATGCGCAAATTAATTATAATCATCGTTTCCACGACAATATTTAAGAGATTTAAAGTTTAATTAAAAAAATGCAAAAAAAAAAGTAATAAATTACAGTAGATGATGCAATAATTAAAAGATGAGTTCAATTAAATAAATTTCTTTTTCAACAACAAAAATGCAAATTCGGAAGATTTAAAAAAAACCAAAAAAATATAATTAAAAAATAAGTTTATACGTGAGTAGATAAAGAAAAATCAAAAATCAAAGCATTCATTTAATAAAAGAATCTAATAAATTATGATAATGTAAACTTAGATATTATATTGCATATATAAAGTAAGCAATGCATGCTTTTTGCGTTAAAAAAGAAACTGACATGACATGAACTGGCATTTATAGCTACAGCGCGTTAAGCATTAAAAATGTTTTTTTTTAAAGTAATGAATGAAAAAAATGAAAAATCAAATAATATTTAACTATTAAGTCATAAAGCCGCGAAAAAATCTCAAAACAATACAAAAAGATTGAGGAATCATCCGACTATACACACAATGGTGACAAAAAAAAATAAGGTGAAAAAAATATTCAGTAAGAGGCCTTTTAGAGAATAAATCACTCGTTTAAAAAAGAAATTTTTTGATAAAAAGAAGTTGAAACAAAAAAAAATGTCATTAAAAAATTATTGAATGAAAAAATGCCCTTAAGAAATCATGATGCTTTACTTTCTTCCTAACGAATAAAGCTTTGCTATTACAATAAACTTTTTGCTGTAAGAAGAAGATATTAATGAATTGTGGATGAATGACTTGAATTTCTCACTGAGACATGACGAAAGTTTGTTGAATATTAAAGTAGAAGTCTTCTTAATGATTCATCACTTTTGAAGGGTATTAAGATCTCTAACTACTTAAAAAAGGTTCATGATGAAATCGATTTGCCAATCTTCCTAGAAGTACTCAAAATTTCAAGAAATGCTTAATAATTCTTAACACTTAAGAATTGACCATCTTGAATTCTTAGATTTGAATTTTGGGTTGAAAAATCGAGGTTAACTTTACAATTAGATATTGAAGGTTTAATATTTATTAGCACTCAAGATTAGTACCTCAACAGCTGAATTAGTTGAAAAACAAGGCATGAACACTGGATGAAAAAGTTATCGTGTTGAAGACAAACTTTTATGTCAAAGTGAGATTTTCAAGCCATTTATCCATTAATTGATGATGATAACGATTGACTTGAAGTTTAAGACATCACTAGGATATTAAAAACCAGAGCTGAAATGTAAGCAGCATTGAAAATTCAGTACTGAGTTCATTTTAGTGTTGAAGTCCTGATAATTATTCACATTATACATCCACAACATACAATCATACTCTCACAACATGCTTTAAAGTTTAAATAAGGGAATCGAAGCAAAAAGTTGTCTTTACTTCACCAAAAATGGGAAAACAAAATTAAGTTAAGAAAAAATTCAAATTTTAAGCAACAAAAAAAATTGCCTAGCTAGAGAAAATGAGAAATCTGCATTGAAACTATTCCATATCAATTTGAAATGAGAGAAAAAAATTAAAATAATGAATGAAATAAGCAACAAAAAATTCCTTTTCAATGATTTTTTCTTTTTTCATCTTTTGTAAGAACTTTACACGAGAATTAGCTCTATTAGGAACGATTGGATCATGACAATGAGGAGATTAGGATTAGGATTATGAACTTTCAATATACAATTAATTAAAGTAGAAATTTCCCATTTTCTGTTTATTTCAAAATAAATTTTGGTGATGTCAAGGAAGTGGGGTCGAAGATGGAGTAAGGATGCTTTTCATTCTTCAAAATGATAAAAATTAGATTCGCTAAGTAGATTTTGTTTAACTAGGTCTTCAAATTTTCATAGAAAATGAATCATTTAATGATTGAATTTCTTTTCGCACATATTTGACACGAAAATTTGATTTTCAACTTCAACGGTTAATTTATTTTTAAATTATTCCAAGTTAATTTCACATTTTTGTATGCAATTAAATTTTAAATTAAGCAGTAAGTTGTTGTAAATTGAATTTTTTTCAATCCTTTTGACAATATTATGGTGACAATGAGATAGTTTTGATAGCTAACTGCTGATCACCATAATAGGTTGTCTTAAATAAACGAAATTAAATCAAAAGACAACTTAATGTTTAAGATTGTTCAAGGAATCTTGTTAAAAACTTAATCAGGAAAACTTGAGTATTTATCAGCTTAAGGCGACATTTCAAAAGCTTTAAAAATATCAACTTTGTATTTAAAATTAATTTAATTCTTTCGCGATCTTCAAAATTTCACAAAGTTTTCACCATTTTTTTCAATTTTTCGTAGAATTTCTTTCATAAATTTAGACTCAACAAGTTATGCTAAATATCCCAATTGGTTGATATTAAAAAATGCTTTAATTATCATTCAACAAATATGCTTTAACTAGCTAAACTATATCAATTAAAAATCACCTTTACGATTCTTTGCGTCTATCAAGGAAAGCAAATGAAGATTAATCAATGAATTTTGTTATGTTTGATTTATAATAAATGAACTTTAAAATATTCATTAAGCTCACGTTGCTTGAATAAGTCAACAAAAATCACGAATATTTTTATGTGGATGGTGGTTCTTTTTTGTGGATTTGATGACTGTTGTAAACTGATTGTCATGGTTAGAGTTTAGCAATTCTCTAGATTTATTGAAAGAGATTCTTCAGGATTGTCTGTTAAATAATTCCAAAATTAAATATCATTCTTCATAGTTCTTAAAGACAATCCTAAGTTGTAAATCTTCATTAAGTTTGCTAGCTTCATTGATTCAGTCAAATGTTGATCTTATCTAGAATCTCGACAAGATATCTTCCTAGAAAGTGCATTGAAGTTTAGTAAAATCCTCAAAATTTTCTAAACTCTTGAACTTTTGTTTACAAAACATAAAATAATCAGGAAATAACATTAAAGAAACTAAGTTCAAATAGTTAAATTCCTTCTTTTGTTAATAAAGCGGTTAAAAGATTTCTGACCCAAGCTAAACAGCTCTGGAACAAAAATTTACTCAACTTAAAAAAAGATTCCACAGACAATCAGCAGAAGTCAGACCCTTGAATCTCTACCATTAATCCACAAACTCACTCATCAAAAAGACAAGTAATAAAGTTGTATTAAATCGACACGAAAAGAATGAAGAAATACTGAATTAAAAAACTTTAGAATCTAGAAACTCTCGTTAAGTACTTGTTATTAATTTATTGCATCCATGCCTGAACAGATGAAGCATAACTCTAAGATTTTTAACTAAGTAAATCTTATACATAAAAAAATAGTTAAACTGAATGATGAATCTACACATTATCTCTAAGATGTTTCCATAAATGAATAAAAACTTTTTTTCTATATAAAAATACTTCTGCTATAAGACACAAACATACACAGACACAAAAGAATAAAAAAATGGCGAAAATAAATAATGTAAAAAATGCTTAAAAAAGTTTTCGAATAAAAAAAAATTGCTTCAATGACAAAAACTATAATGAGAATGAGTTAATACATAAATATACACATAAGTACACAATTACACAGACACAAACTGACACATGATGATACAAGCATACGTTTTCAAGTCTTGTAATGTTAATTATTGAGATAATATCAAAGAGAATAATGAATATTAAAAATGAAGAATCATATGCTCATTGTTGATGATGAAAATTCACCTGTGGAGTGTTTGTTGAGGTTATGTCTCTAAACTTTTCTGTTAAGAGGAGCCTTTTTCTTAATAGACAGAGTTGAGGCTACACCTCATCACATTCCACAGTCCAAATTCTACTAAAGTGAAATAAAAGACGTTGTTATAATTATTATAATTTTAAAAAATGGTTCGAAAAAAGAAAATATTTAAGAGAAATACAATAATTAATTCAATTAAAAAACACTTTTTCTCTCTCTGTTTAAAAAAATTGAACTTTAAAAAAATGAAGGAAATAAAAAAAAGTTTAAAATTGATGCTTATAAGTTAGATTTGAACAAAACGGATGAGAAGAATTAAAAAATCAATGCAACAAGTATAAGGAACTTAAAACTTAATAAATATATCAAGTTTTTTGACAAAACAAAAAGCACACGAAATTTTTTTGTGAACATTAAAAAGCCAAGCTTAAAAAAAATTGAAAAAATCGTAAAAATCTTTTTTGTTTTCATCCAAAAAAAAGAGTAAATTTGTGAAAGAGAAACGATAAAAACAAATAAAAGACTTTTTAATATGAAAAAAGAAACGTTATAAAATTGTTTTATTTTTTTCTTAATTTTTAACAAGGCTCATACAATCGTGATTAACTTCCAAAATCCCCAAAAATCAAGCTGGTTTCTGACATGATATTATGAATTTCAATAGAATTCCCATCGACTAATTGAGGGATTTCCAATGGGATTCATGATATTATTACAGGAATCGCTATTTTTTAGACATTAATCTCAAGTGTATGTGCCTCACTTTTCAAACAATTTCAGAGCCTCTACGTCTTTTCCTCAAATACTATTCCTCATCGGAATTGGTTGCCTTCACATATGTTGTCTTTTTCTTTCCCGCCATTTTCTTCAATATCATCATTTTATTAAATCGAATGCACAAATCATTACCAGATGATGGATCCAAAAGAACTCTCACAGCTTTCGTTGCCATGTTTGACTTGTCTTTATCTGGTATAATAGTCGGAATTTGTCTCAACAAAGAATCTTCAATGTTTTTCGCAAATGGATCCAGCAATTGTGTAAAGATTGGAAAAATCTAAAGAAAAGGAAATAAATTAGATAATTTAACTGTATAGTTGTGTTTTGTGAACATGGCTGTCACACTCTTTAGGTCTGAATCCCTTGCTTCCATAGGAAGAGAAGAAAAGTATAAGTTATATTAAGTTTTATATCTTACAACTATTTTGGTTGTTGTTTTGCAATGATCATCAATCAATTTTAATACGGTTTCAATTCCATCACCCTGTGACAAGCAATTCTGAGTCTAAAAAAACAATTTTATGAATTTTATCACAACACTGGAACTTTTGAAAACCTAATCAAACATTCTTACAAAAATAATCAAAACTAGCACCGTAAAAATTTTCAGCATTTTTTTGGAGTTAAATTAAAGTTAACGATATTACGAGTAGGAAGTCAAGGAATGAAATGAAATATGAAATCGTCTGTGTCGTTTTTATATGAAAAAAATGCTGTCAATATATTTAAATTGACATGATTTTGCACTTTGACCCATATGATCATTATTAATACATTTTGTTTTTATCCGTTTTTATGACATTTATAAGCATTCTTAATTTTTTTCTACAAAAAGATTAAGAACCTACAAAATAATCCTGATGCATGGAATATTTACTTACTGATAAATCCTTTTAATTTCCACTAGAAATTTATAAGGTGTTTATTTTAACATTAAAGACATTTAAAGACAAAGCGTCCAAGGAAAAATTTCTAAAGATAAACTCGAATGGATTTAATGGTTAAAACGGACAAAACTTACTTCTTTAAGTAATTCGCTGGTGGTACAGATCATTTGTAATCCATGAAAATCTAGAAAACGCTTCATCGCTGGTTTCTGCTTGACAATTATCATTATCAAGCAACTCTATCAACAGTTTCCTTCCAAAAATAGTTTTTAGAACATCTGCTTGATCTTTTGCAATCTACAAAATCAGATTTAAAGACTGAATTAATTTAAGCTTCAACATGTTTCCTAACAGCATATCCAGTCCAAAGGAGCTTATTAACTTTGTATGAAGTGCAATATCAACTTTAGTAATAATCAAATCAAGTGATTAAATGCTAAAGGAAACTAGTGTATCGGGTAGAAACTCAATTTGGATATATTCACACCGTACCATCAAAACTCTTATGGATAGACCAAGATTTGCTCAGCATAAGTTTGAAGGTATAAACCTAGCGAGTCAGCTGAGCTTCGCTCAGTATAAGTTTGAAGGTTTAAAGCTTAACGAACATTGCTTAAATGAATGAATTTTATAAAAATCACAGTGAACTTTTGTTTTTAAAAATTCGTAAGAAAGGAAAGTTTTTTGCTTTTTCTGAAGCAACGGCTGTTCCTACCTTGCCCAAAAACAATACAGCTCTTCTATAGAGCAGCACCGATCAAATGTAAAAAACTAGAAGTCTCTACGATGTCTCGTTATTGAGATTTCTTGCTGATTAACTTGCATGCTTGTTTGCTTGCTTACAGAAAGCGTATTTTGCTATTTTCTCAGCAATGCCGCAACCAGTTTAAAATCTTTTTATTGCATATGATGTAAAATCTCAGGCACAAACTTTTCTTCCTGGACCTTTTGATACTAATTTTGCTTCGTTTTCTCCAAAAATGCGAAAAACTGATTTTTCAATCTGAACAAAACCAATAGATTCACACGTGAATACGGTGTGAATATAATTAAATGGCTTTATTAAAATTTGTGTCTTTGGATATCATATTCATGTCCAAAAGACTGTCAATAATTGTTTTCATCCTTATCTTTTTTTCAACCTTGAATTTTTTACGAATCCTGAATCACTTTCTAAAATACTGCTAAAATACGTTATCACTAATGATGATAAACTGAATATAATAGACATTTTATTTGCATTGTGAATATAATACAAATTTAAGAGCATTCTCAAAATCAAGTCTTATGTTCGGGTTTTTCCATCTTTTAATAATTTTGTGTGTACGTGAATTTGGATGAATTGTATTCAATTATTTAAGATTCGTTTTTGGTATATAAACGATGAGAAATTCAATAAAATTATTCAGTCTACAAAGTTATTTAATCAAACTAAGTTCATCTTAAAAATTATTTTGAAATGAATTTTTTCACAAAATTTTCAGTCATTTTTATGACTTTAACAATAGTCAAATCAGATCCGATTCGTAAGTTGGCACTGAAATTTCCTGAGCAACGAAAAGGTTTAAAACGATAATGTGTTATTTAGAAGCATTGCCAAAAGGATATCAAGTCGTTTTGACCGTTTTTGTCGCTCGGGTATGTTCTCGATACGAATTTTTATTAATTAAATTTGTGTGTTTTTTTAAGCATCTTCCTTAAAAGTTTGTCATAAAAGTGATTATGACTTTAATAATTGTATAGAAAGAACCTTGAAAGGTCTTCAAAATTCTTTACGCAGTGGGAATTTGGGCAATGGCATTACATTTACACCATTAAATGTTATTAATATGAAAGAGTAAGTAGTGCAATTTTTACTAAGTTGACAAATATTTAATAAATTTATATAAATTAGGAATATTCGTTATGATTACGATGATGTTTCCGTTGAAGTTACTAAAATTAAAATTTTTGGTGCCGACAAATTTACTATTGAGCAGGTTGAATCTTCACAAAATCCATTTGAAGTTAAAGTTGTAGTAAAATACAATAGCTTGAGTACATCAAGTGAATACGAAATCAGTGCACCAACTGAACATTTTAATGGACGTGGAGAAATTAAACAAACTATTGCTCAGCTAAGACAAAAATTCATTTTTAAATTTGGAAAAACAAATGATGGCAAAATGAAAGTCGACAAACTTGTTGTAAAAATTTTAGAAGCGCGCATTGGAGAAACAAAATTCTCACCACGTGGAAATGCAAATAAAGTTTTTATGGAAATTGTTGCTGAACATGTTGATCAAAATGGTGATGATATATTTAATGAAATCAAACCAGTTTCTGAAAGAAGCTCAGAGAAGTTTTACTTAAGACTTGCTAATGAGATTTTGAATAATTTTTCTTACGACGATCTCTTGCCTTTGTAATCTTGTAAGATTATTCCAATCTATTGCATTGAAAAATTTCATACATAATGAACTGTAATGGTTATTAAATTGAATAAAATTAAAAATTCAATTTTTAAAAACTCAAAACAATTTTAAAATGTAAAATTATTGCTTTCTTTTGAGACTCTTGAGACTCCGAGGGAAGTTAAAAATTCATCGACCGAGAAATCGAGAACACGAATTTATTGTGTCCTTCCATTTTTAAGCTCTAGTAAACCAGTCATTTAACCTAAGTTTCCATTAAAGTGCATTAATAAGTGTATCATCAATATAAACACAAACACATGTTTTAAAAAAAGCTCTTCAAAAGCTTCACTATAAATTTTCAGATAGTGCGCTCTGGAAGCTTATTAATTTTCGTGAACATAGTGCGCACTCACCCCATATTATTACAACATCGCATGTTGACTTCTGTTGAACATTTCTCCCTCTTTATTTCTCAATAACAGATTTTTTTTTCTTCACCATTGTATACACAATAAGGAACGATTATGAAAAAATGTCGCATAACATGTCGAATAAGCAAAACTTAAAATCTAAAATTTTATTATTCAAAGGTGATAACCGAACTTAAAGGTAAGTGAGCGAGTAAAATAAGAGAGAGAAAAAAATTATGAAAAATAATAACGTGCTTCTGGGAAATGAACGATATGCATGAATCATACAAGAGAAAAGGAAAGCCCAACAACAAATTTAAGTTTCATTCTTCTCGCAACAGTAAAAAAAAGGAAACTCGCGTAGCTCACGAAAATTCGCTCATTCAGCTTTCCTTTTTTTCAGTTCATTGTCAGCGTTCGAGTCAATTGGATGGACTAGAAAAAAAGGAGCGCGAATAACATGAGACATGAGATAAAATATTGTGATATTAAGGATTAAAAAGTGCTTTCAAAATTGCCTTTAATTTACATAATTTAGTTTAATAAAAAAAAAATATGAAAAAATTAAATTGTGGAATGGATTTGAATAAGGAAGCAAGCTTAAATGGCGAAAATAATTGAAAACGGTTGAGAAATGCTGGTTTGAAAGAGCTTAAAAAACCTTCAAAAATCATCGAAAAGTTTGTAAATATTCAACAAAAATTGCTTGATCAATTAAGCTAATTAAGGAGTTAAAAAAATGAATAAAAGCTTTGCAAAAGCTACACTGTGATACCCCCCAAAAATAAAATATGAAATTTTAAAGGTGAAATAAAATTGAGTAATTAAAGGAAATAGTCACGATAAAAATAATAATTTTGGATATTATGAAATCAATCACATTAATTTGGTAAGACATACATTTGCTCATTTTACCTCCGAAAAAAGAAAGTCAATTTTACTTCTGATTTGTTTTCATTGATAAAGGAAATGAAATTCATAATCAGTCAGTCTGTTTTATTTTTTTTTTCTCTTTTTTCGCTTTTTATTTTCTCCACGGAATCGATCAAACAAGACAAGGAATGTGCTTGAAAATTGTAATGAGCTTTTTGCGGTTTTAACTTTTTTTTTTGTTCAGTTTGCATTCATCGTCATGCTTTTGAGGCTCATTCACTCTTTGAATTTATTGAAAATTCACTGATTTCTCCTCAAAAACAATGACGTCATGAATTGTAGGAATGGCATAAAAACATTGAAAGGATTGCAAAGAAAAATGAAAATGAAAAGTTTTATTTTTTCATTAAAATTGGGAAAAGTTTGAATAAAATAATTAATTTTTGAAAAATTGAAGCAATTATTTAATTTATTAAAGATTTGATCATGATTTTAAGTGCTTTTTTAAAGAAAATATCCATCCGAAGATCAAAACTTTGAATCAATCTTAATCTTTATCAATTTATAAAGAATTTGTCAATAAACTTCATACACAAAAACTTCTGTTTGTGTAAATAAAGTCCAAAAAAGCTTCCTTATCAAAAGGAGCAAAAACTAAAGAATGAATGCTATAAAAAAAATAATGTAAAGTCACGATATGCATAAAGTTTATTATACAAATCGGAAGGGTCAGTCGTGAGTTTATTCTATTTTCATATCTAAGTTTTCGTGATTATATAATTGTAGATTGTGAAATGTGAATTTTTAGATTATATCTTCACTATTTTCAGTTTAGTTGTTGAATAAAATGTAAAAACAAAGAGCAAATTATGACTAATATTTTAATAGGTTTTTTAACCTTGAACAATTGTTAAATCTATGTTTTATGTGAATTGTTCTGCAACTGCTAAGGATCTTAATTTAATTTTTTTGATGATTTAAAGTAATTCATAAGTTTTTAATAACTTAGTCTAAGTTTAGGAAAATTTCTTGACAAGCTGTAAAGTTTCAACTCATTTTATGATTACAGAAGTTTTTAACTTAATGAGTCAATTTATAATCTAAAGCTGATCTTCGAACTAGTAAGACTTTATCCTTGTACTAAGAAAACAAATAATCAAAAATTGACAACTTGCCACCAAAATCGAGCTCCTCTGTCGAAATTTTATTTGAATAAGTTCCTTTAAAACTCTCTTCTGGCTTGATTGAGCTGATTACTGAATTTTAAAATTTGTAAAAGCTAGTCATCCAGATAGCACTATGCTTTTTCGCTATCGGGATTGGAATCGGGATATCCCGGTGAATTTTTCGGAACCGAGATTTCGGGAAAGCATAGACAGCAGCGTTAATTCGAAACATTTACTTGATTCGTCAAGAATTTTCAACTACTCTTGACTTGTAATCACACAATTTAATGTCCCAAATCTAAATCTTCAATTCAGATTTTCCTTCTTTTTTTGGCTCCTGCTGTTCCTATTATTTACTTCTTTCCATCCATTTCCTGATAAAAATATGAATACCAAAATAATCTTTCACAAAACTTAATGTTGAAGGAAAAAATAGACATCTATTAATAGTCAAAGAAGTTATTAAAGAAAAGTAGCTGCAACCTTTCATTATAATTTATCAGTTTGGCATTTCCATATTCTCCATTTGTGTATCCTTCTATAATAATTACAATTTGATTAATTAATTTTCGCTATTCAAGTGTTTTGTTCAGTTTTTTTTATCCATTGAATAAATTTATTCAATTTAGACCTTTATTGAGGTAGTCGCTTTCATACTCCATCAAGCAGCTATATCTCATAACACTATATTCACTTAGAGAGCGCCATAACTTAAAGAAGAAGATTTTTGATATGAAATTCATTCAAATTTCACACAAATGAATTGAGGCAATACACGACAAATTGGAATAATGAATGCATGCTGATGAATGTGCGTTTTACTACTTTTACCTTCATTAATTCAACATTTTTTTTTGCTCTTGGTAGTTTTGTGGACTTGTTTTTATGTCTGGTCACTAAACAAATATAAAATTGATTCATTCTCGTTGTTTTGAATGTCATGAGAGACTTGGCCACACTCATAGAAAAAAAGTAACAAAATGTTTGTAACTTGTATGGAAAATGTTAACAAACAATTCGTTAAAATAGTGTTTACGAACTTATTTGTTAAATTTAACCAAATTATTTGTAAGGTTGAATTGTTAACTATAAAAATTGTTAATTTAACAAACTTTTTGTTAAAATTTTTTTTTACAGAAAAAAATAACAAATTTTCGGTTAATATTAACCAGAAAATTGTTAATTTGGTCACCCATCTTATTTTAAAATGTTTCCGTGGTTGCTTAACTTCTGAATTCCTGTTGATGATCCGCTAGTCCGCTGCTTGTAAACTTTTACTTATAAAATTTGATTCAGAACCAATATAAATAATTCTTTAAAAAATATATCCAAATTTTAAAATTAATTTATGAATAATAAAATAGAAATGTAGGACTTAAAAAAATGAACAAATTTAATTTTTAAATTACGATTTGGTTTGTAAATCATTATTTTCCAAAACAAATTACAAATAAAAACATTGTAACAAATGTTTTGTTAAAATTAACAAATTAATTTGTTAAACAAAATCAACAAAATTCAATTTAAAGCAGTTTTCTCATTAAAAATAACGCAATAAATTAATGGGAATCGTTTGAAATTAATCAAACAAGAGTTTTGAATACAAAAATTAAAATTTAATTAAATCAATTATTAACAAATAAATTTGTTGATTTAACAAACTCAATTGTAAAATTTTTAACAAATAGTTTGGTTGAAATTTTTTTTACCCATGTAAACTTAACCAATAATTTGTTAAACTAGTTTAACAAACATATAACAAATATTATGGTTACTTTTTTTCTATGAGTGCATAAAGTGTGATTTTCTGTTGTCGGAATATCACATAAATCATTGGATTCTTTCTATTCAGTTGCTTTTGTTAGACTGAATCTGATTTTCTGATCCTTTATGTCCTTTTTTGGATGAACATAGAGTTTTGTCAAAGACAGAATTATGAATCGTTGAATTTTGAAGCTTATCTAATCAGAATGATGGTTTGAATTGATTTATTCATTTTGGGATCTGCCTGAAAGTTTGATATGGCTTGGTTATTTAACAGTCTTCTTTTTATACACTTGTAGTCTGTTAACACTGTATTCAAGTGTCAGCTTTCAAGTATCGAAAGAAAGTTTTGCTGATGTTTTTATGTTTTGACCCAAAAGACCTCCCCTAGCTCCTCCCTTGACTGTATTTACTCAAAAAAGTTCCATATCAATTTCTTCAAATCTTAAATCACTTTGATAAAATCCTTTAATTACCACGAAAGTTCAGCCTTCAATCTCAACCTTCAACAAACAAAAAATATTTCATACAATTCCTTGTAAATTCAGATGACCCATTTCGTTTCTTGGAAGGAAATATTCTATAATTTAAATATAAAGTAACACATTTTAGCTTTTATTGCCTCTCATTTCCTCTCTACATTTTATTTTATTGTGTCCGTCATGTTTTGCCATTAAAGTATTTTTGTTAAATCAGCAAAGGCAAAGGTCAGAGATAGTAGAATCAATGTTGTTAAAATTTATCAAGTTTGAAGTTGGGATTGGCACTTTTGAAGGGTCATTATGTACTTTTTATCTTAGTCCCTATGAGCATGT